TCAATCTGAAGGGATCTCAAATAAGCCAAATAAGGATCTGTTAGAGGAAGTAGTAGTCTTGGAAAATGACTATTGTAGGGGGGTTGGAACTGAACTGATTAGGGATAGAGACAGATCGTTGTTCCAGCAGAGAAGAAAACTTTGTCCCAAAAGTTTGCCCATAGAGAGGAGGAGAATGGCCAGCTATAAAAGACATTATACAGGTCGAGGGTGAGAATTAACTGGTTTGAGAATAAACAAAGGTATTCCGGTGAGAAAGGATTTGCAGCCTCCTTCAATAAATATGGAAGGTGGAAGGGAAGTGATTTTAAATGGTGCAGCTGATGATCAGAACCCTTATGTGGCACCAAATAATTGTAATAGTTCTTCGGAGGTCTTGGCAGTAGTTCCTTTCTCTGTTGTAGGGTCAGGAAGGTCTAAAAGAAGGGAGAGAAGAGTTTTAACAAGGGAAGCAGTTGATATGGTTAATTCCTTTTGTTTTACTCCTCAGTTCTCGAAGGCGGTTGAGGAAGCGATGGTTACATGGGAAGTATGTAAAGTTCTAGGATTCTTTCAAAGATGGGAAGAAGGCTTTTTTGGACAAAATTATCAAGAAGAGAGAGGGGAAGTCAGGGGTTTAGTCTCTATTTCTCTGTTGACTAGCTATAAGGATTTGGTGTAGATCTTCTTGTTATGATAAATGTCAACATTATTTCTTGGAATGTAAGGGGTCTTGGAAAAAAGGAAAAGTCAAGAGTTGTAGCTAATTTGGTGAAGAAGAATAAGCCGAACTTGATTCTAATTCAAGAAACAAAACTAGAAACTGTTTCTTTGGCTCTTAGAAGAAGGATAGGGGGGAGATTCCTTAGAGGAGGGATTGTTGCGCCAGCAGTGGGATCTGCTGGTGGATTGATGATTATGTGGGATGAAAAATTTTGAAGTTTCGAACAGCCATCTTAAGGCAGATTCATAGCAGTCTTTGGGAAGTTCAGAAATTCAAGTGAAGAGTGTCTGATTATCAATGTATACGGTCCATCAATTGAAGCAGAAAAGGAAGATTTTTCAGGGAATTGTTGGGAGTTTGTTTCGGCTCAAAATATGTTAGTGTGTATTGGGGGAGATTTTAATGTGTATCTTGATCCGGACGAGAAGTTGGGAAAATCACAAAACTGGCATTCTATTGATTTATTAGAAACTTCTTACAACAATCACATTTAATTGATCTACCTTTGGTGGAGGAAGGTATACTTGGTGCAATAATAGAGAAGACTCGACTTGGGAAAGACTAGACAGGTTCTTAATCTCTCTGGGACGTTTCTGTCATGTTTTCCAAATGTAGTGCAAAGTCTCTTGCCTAAATCCCTATCTGATCATAATCCAGTCTCATTAGAGGACAAAGCTGTTAATTGGGGACCGAAACCATTCAGGTTTTTTAATTATTTACTAGAGGAGGAAGGATTTGAGGAATTGGTTAAATCTCAATGCTTGCTATGAGGGGGAGAAAAAAAAAGGGGTATTTTCAGTATCTTAAAAGGTACTAAAAATTCAATCAGAAAGTGGTCCAGCAGTAAATTTATTGGGATCCCTGAGTCGATTTCTGATTTAGAGAGGAATATTAATGAATTGGATCTTAAAGCTCAAGGTGGAATTCTTTCGAAGCAGGAGTGGGATCAGTTGAGGCTGTGTAGGACAAATCTATGGAGGTTGTATAGGACAGAAGAAAGTATCTGGTTTCAGAAGTCAAGGGCGAGATGGATCAAGGAGGGGGATAGGACACAAGGTTTTTTCATCTGTCTGCTCTGAACAGAAGCAAAAGAAATGAAATCTTAAGCTTGAAGATAAATGGGAGTGTGGTTTCAGATCCTCAACAATTAAGGTACATATTTCAGAATTTTTCAAGGCAGCTTATAATTCCAATTCAACATTGGAAACGGAGGATTTACTACGGATTTTGCTAAGCTATCAGGGGATCAGTCTAAGAAGCTTGAAGAGCACTTCTTAGAACAGGAAATTTGGCAAGCTATAGTTTCATCAGACAGCTCTAAAGCTCCAGGACCAGATGGTTTCACCATGGGTTTCTTTAAAAAACTGCTGGCCGATTTTTAAGGAGCACGTGTTGAAATTTTTTGAAGATTTCTATTTTGGAAGGAAATGGGAGCACGGTATAAACCATGCTTTTATCACACTTATTCCGAAGAAGCTTAATCCGGACAGTGTAGAGGAATTTAGACCAATCAGCCTTGTAGGCAGCTTATACAAGATACTTTCTAAAGTTCTTTCGAAGAGACTGAGTTGTTGTGTTGGTGATATTAGTCACTCTCAGTTTGCGTTTATACCAGGGAGACAGTTGCTGGATTGTGCTTTTATAGCAAACGAAGGGATTGATTACTGGAGGAAAAAAGGGTTAAAAGGGGTTGCCTTCAAAGTAGATTTTCGTAAGGCTTATGATTACGTGGAATGGCCAATTTTAATCAGAATAATGTCAGAGATGGGTTTTGGTAAGAGATGGTTGTCGTGGATATCTCAGTGTATTTCAACAGCTTCAATCTCAGTTCTCGTAAACGGGTCTCCATCGGAAGAGTTCCACATGGCCAAAGGACTTAGGCAAGGGTGCAGTTTATCTCCGCTACTGTTTAACATTGTAGGTGAGCTGCTTAATTTGATGATATCTAAAGCAGTGGACAGGGGTCTGTTTCAAGGCTTTGTTATTGGGGAATCTGAAAATTCTGTTCGATTGACACATCTACAATTTGCAGATGACTTGATCATCTTCTGTCAAGCATCTCTCTCCCAGATTAAAAATGTCAAGAGAGTATTGAGGATTTTTAGTGTTATGACAGGGTTGCATCTTAATCTAGCTAAGAGTAAGCTATTTGGTATTAATGTGGAAGAGGAAGTTTTCAGAATGGGCATCTTCGGTGGGCTGTTCTATTGATTCTCTTCCAACAGATTACTTGGGACTTCCTCTAGGTGCTAAGAAAAACTCAGAAGCCTTATGGGATCCAGTTTTCAAGAATTTTAGTTCCAAACTAGCCGGTTGGAAAGCTAATTGTCTCTCATTGGCGGGCAGGACAGTTTTATTAAAGTCGGTGTTAACATCCCTACCAATATTCTTCTTATCTCTTTTTAGAATGCCTTGTAAAATTGGTAAGAAGCTTAATTCTTTAATGGCCAGTTTCCTATGGGGGATAATGAGGACAAAAGGAAGATACACTGGGTTAATTGGAAATCAGTCTGCACGCCTCTAAATTGTGGTGGCCTTGGTGTTCTTGATGTGAACCTATCTAATCGGGCTCTTGGGAAAATGGGTGTGGAAGTTCGCCAATGAAAAAAATACTTTGTGGAAAAGTGTTATGTTGCAGGCACAAGGTAAGTAGTAATTCCATGTCTATTTGTAAGGTTTTTTCGCCCAAATCTTCTTGGATTTGGAGAGGGATAGCCACCAATTTCTTGAAGAACGACTCGGAGGGTGAACGTATCAGATCTAACTCCATGTTGAAACTGGGAAATGGAAAGTCTATTGCATTTTGGACGGATTCATGGGCTGATGAGTCTCCTTTAAAAAATCTTTTCCCTAGAATATGCGTTGTCAACAAATAAATGGGGTATGGTCGCTGAGTTTGGAAGTTCAGATTCGAACGGTTGGGGGGTGGAACATCGATACCAGAAGGATTTGTGTGTGGGAGTTGGATCAGTGGCTGGATTTAATGACAAAAAACTGAAGGACTTTAAACTGACTAATTCAGTTGAAGATTTTCTTTCTTGGTCTGCAAGCGGGGATGGACTGTTTTCAGTGAAATCTTGTAGAAAGGAACTCGGCAAGGTGTCTGGGGAGTCCGATTTATGGGTAAAAGGGGTGTGGCAGGGTTTATCTCCTCCTCGTGTTGAAGTCTTCCTGTGGCAGCTAGCTCATTAGAAAATGGCAGTGAGAGAGGAGTTAGTGAAAAGAGGTTTGCAGCTAGGGGATGAATTCTATGTTCGTTTGTAAAAAACAGGTGGAATCAGTTCAGCATTTATTTATTTCGTGTGATGTTGTTTGGGAACTTTGGAACAAGATAGCAAGCTATTGGGATATAGCCTTAGTCCTTCCAAAGGATCCACCTTCTTTGCTATGTTCTTGGGGTGAGCTGAGGGGGAAATCGTTGATTTGGAAATTTATCCCGGGAGAGTATTTTGGTCGATATGGAAAGCTAGGAATACAATGGTGTTCGAAGGTTCCCCCTTGGATAGGATGTCTGTTTTTTATTGCTAGATTCAGGTTATCTAAATGGTTTCTAGCCAAGTATCCTAAGTGTCCTATTCAGGAGGATGTGATGATTGGTGATCCATCTCTTGCAGATGGTATTAAAGCTCTCAACATTTACAATTTTCAGGTTTCTCGCTGGATTCCACCCCCTATGGATTTTTTGAAGATGAATGTCGATGGAGCTGTTAGACTTGATGGCTCAAATGGAGGTATAGGAGGTATTTTGAGAGATTGGAATAGCAATTCCCTTCTGACTTTTTCAGAAAATGTAGGTCAGGGTCCCCCGCCGGTTGCTGAGTTAAAGGCTATTAAGAGAGGCATTGAAATCTATATGTCTTCTTGTTGGGTTTGATTGTGGAAAGTGACTGTAAGTCGGCTGTGGAATGGTTCATACCCCAGCTTTGGCCCCTGTTTTTATCCTCCCATTAGTTAAAGAGATTTCATCTTTTATCTCGGACAGGGTGCACTCAATTAGACTGATTCCAAGGGTGTGTAATGGGGAGGCTGATAGTTTAGCAAAGATGGGAATTGGTTGATGTTTAGTCGTTTTATCGTTTGAGTTTAGGTTTTTGGTTCTGTTGAGTAGCTTAGTCTGTTGTGTTTTTTCAGTATGGTGTTTATGTTAAATCTTATGTAATTTCGGAGGAGTAATAAAGTTTCTAAGGCACTCTTTTCCTCCTTCTTGGATCAAGAAGGAGGTTTTTAAGGAGGCCTGTCATTCTTATCAAAAAAAATCTTGGCAGAGCAAATATAACGGTTATAACAATATGAAGATTCATGAAGTAATTTTATGATTCATCAAGAGAGAAAGGAAAGTGAAATGCAAAGAGAAGAGAGAAGAACAAACAGTTAAACGCAGCAATGCATCTCTGGTTGCACTCTGAATATCACCATTATTGTTGCGAAACAAAAGTACTAGTTGCCGGAACATATGACCCTGACAGAACAAACAAAAAAATTAATTAAAAACCATCACTCAAGATGAACTTTGCATTTTAGGTTTATTTTGAGATGATGAACAGCAGCAATCATTGCACAAACAGATTGATAAACATCCATCCTACGTGATATACAGATGACACCCATCAACTATAAATAAAAAATCATGAACCACAATCATCCACCCTAGGTAGACACAATGAACTCAAAGAACACAAGGGAACTACCATTTTCACTTCAGAGAAAAAACAGTATTCCATACAGGATTAGTTATTAATTAATTGCACAAAGGGATTGTCAATGGATTTCATATGAGAAACTTTTTCAAGAAGGATCTGGCGTGCCCCAGGTTCAGACTATCAATCTAACATCTACCAAAACAATTCCACTTACATAATACAAACTCTGATGCTCGTCAGGTTATGGCACAAGAACATACATATTTGTTTTCTTCCATTTTAAGTATCATACTTCAATATATTAAGTAGGTAAAACATTGAAATTTAAAGTAACCCGTCCCACAAAATGTGCTAGAAGTTAATAATAATAACCTGTGCCTCATTTGTCAAGCCAATGTAGAATTGACTTCTGAGCTTCCGTAAAACAGTAACACAGGGTTCTACTGTGGCAGGGTCTTCTGGAGACTTAGAGTCCAACTGAAACAAGAAAAAAAAAGCTTAGAATTATGTCCCAATATCGCAATACAACGACACAAATTGCGAGGAGGTTCATACCTGCAATGCCTTGAATACATGTTCAGAAAACTGTCCACCGGGAGATGCTGGGGCATAAAACACATCTAGGACAAACAGAGGACAAAATCATCATCAAACATCTATGACAATAAAACCGTACTTAAATTCAATGATGAAAGAATGGAGAAGATTGCTTATCTAAAAGCCATATAAAAACAACAACTAAAACCCTTACCTCCAAAAGCAAGCACAGAATTCTAATTTCAGTTTCTGACAATTTGTGTGACGAGTTTTCTAGGTCAAAATAGCATTGGCTTCGCTTTCTAAGAAGTAGAGACAATAATGACTCAACCTCTTTAACATGAAGAATCGCATTGCCTAATCCTTGGAGCAATGATAAAACCTTTAGCTGCCACCAAGATTAAGCCAGTAAAAAAATTTCAACTCATTATCACTCTTCACGCATGAAAATAACAATAATCCATAGGAGAATAGATCCTCCTCTTAAACAGGAAGGAAACATAGGAAACAACTAAAAGGGCAAACCTTTCCAGATTCAGAATGGTTTAGAGCAGTATTCAATATGAAAGCAAGAATCTTCTCCCTGGTAGATTGATTAAATCTGAAATTGAATGTGGAAACATGATAATATCCTCGTTAAAAACAACACAGCATGGATGGCACAGAAGAATTTTGCCAAAGACGACACAAAACTCAATTTCGTATGTCATGATATTATTTCTATCAGATTTATTAAATATACAAGATGCAACTTCATATGGAAATTGATTATTGCACTTATAATGTAGACTGTTAACTCCATTTCCAAGAAAAGGCTAGAGGAATATCCTTTTTAGCAATAAGTGAGCTGTCTAAATGATTACAAAGAATCAGAACTAATTATGGTTCATGCCCATAAACAAATTATATTAGAGAAGAAATAAAGCACATCAATACCTCTGCTCAATGCTGTCGGAAGACGAGCTAAGCAAACATGTCAAAAAAGAAGGGAGAAAACTTTTGTCTGACAGTATAAGCCTCTTTTGCTGAACCATCAAGCCCAAAAGTTCATCAAGAAAATGGCTCCAAACTGCAGTGTTCCCTGTTATAATCCAATTCTGTTATAATCAGGGAAAAGAAACTAATAAATGTAACCATATGAAAGAAAATATCATCCATCATACCATTTTTCTTGCAGGAGAAGTCCACTTGACACCACAATTTATAAAGCTTTTCAACACAGTCCATGGCAGCAATCTTAGCAGCCTAAAAACAGAATCTCACAAATTTATACACAACAAAGAGCTAAAAAATGAGGGCACCATCATGAGCTTCTAAAACGATGCTAAGCTAGCATTTAAGAATTTGAAAAATGGTAAACCTTATTGTTGCTGGCGAGTGGAAGAAGAAGTGAGGGAAATTCAGCCAAAAGTTCAAATGGTAATCTATCATTTAGCTGAGAACAAAGAAATGAGAAACAATGAAGGCTCTCTACTTGAACTGCAGCAGGAACTTCTGCAAAATCAATGACATAAGCATAAGCAACCAGTAATCATTGAATCAGGTATAGTCTTCTCGAATTCATTTTACATTGTAACTTTGCACGGTATATTATACAAAAAATACTAAGACCTTAATTATCATTACAGTTTTACAATAGTAACTCTTGTAAAGAAACTTAGAGAGAGGCAGATTCATTTAGCAAAGAATCCAGATTACTTGGTCTCAGGAGACATGATAGAATTGGGCAGGCATAAAGCATATGTCAGTATGTCACCTTTTAAAACTGAAAAACAAAAAAGGGGGAAACCAGAAAAACACCTTCGGCTGTATAAAACCTAGACAGAAATCGAACTGGTGAAACTTTGCACTTTCTAAGAAAGTCATGCAGATGCTTCTCAACAAGTTGTTGGAGGTGCTTCTTGAATGCATTCTTCAAACTAGAACCCGACAAAAAGATGAAGAAATCCTGAACTCGGGTTATGCTTTCCTCACTATCATCCTAAAAGAAAGAAAAAGAAACGGTAAGGATATTGCAACTCATCCATCAAATTGGCCACAAAAGGCAAGAGAAAGGGTCACTGACCAAAAAGACTTCAGCATTGACTGCTGAATCAAGTAACCTCCAGAATACGCATGTAAGAATATTTTTATTTAGAGTATCAATATCAGCATCAAATAGCTGATCTAGCAACTTTCTGCAATCCCAATCAAGCATCTCTTCATTGAACTGACAAAATAAAAGAACACAGCATTGAATAATTTGAACAGAAAAAAGGAGAAATTTAACACCAAATAGCATCCAAATTGACTCTAACCTCTTGTAGAGAAATGCCAACAATAGAGCCAATAGCTTCCCACTCGGACTTCAGAACTGGAAAGCAAGAATCGAAGAGTACCAAAAAGTTGCCACCTAATAGACAAATCATACAGAACAAGCACTTAGTATAAGAGAAAAAGTGCAGAAACCAACACCAGGGAAGAAGAAAGGGAATTATGATGAGAGATGATGCAAATAGTTCAATAAAATTGCATACAAAATTTCCTCACTAAAAAGTTGATTTGACATTAAATCACCCACCAAAAGCCAACATATTCGTTAGAAGATAGAAGCATCAAAGAGCGCATATTCAATCATCCATAATAAATATATTAAAACAAAAATTTTAGCATAACAGTGGAAGTCCAAAGACTTATACATTCCATGGAAGAGTAAAAAAAACATACTCTTCATTGACATAGAAAATGACTCCATCAGAACCAAAAAGAGAAGAGTCTTTGACGATTTAAAGCTATTGCAACTTCTGATAAGCCAAGGCATATACTCATTAGGTTGCACCAAGAACTCCTCCGATAAACTTCTAACAATTTCCATATTAACTGTAGACACACTTCCACGCTTCTGCATTTTTCTTTCAAACCTGCCGACAGCCTCCACATCAACTGATGATCCAGAGAGCAACTTCTGCAACTTTTAAAATTTCAAAGTTATTCTGCTCCAATATAAACTGAAAAGTGAACTATAATTAAATAATTGAGAATTAAAGGCAAGAACAAGTAGAGTGCAATTAAAAGTAGTCAAATACCTTAAACTTTCACCTAAATTAAATGTTACCATTCCCCCTAAAATTTTGACAGCAGTTATCAATCCCTCAGGGATAAAATATATAGAAATTTCATATACTAGGAGAAGATCTTTACAAACTACCACAGGGAGGTTGCTCCAGTTTGGAAATTCAAACTTAAGATTTGACCAAATATAACACAAATCCGACACTCAAATATGATCTTCATCAACCCAAATTTATATTTGCTTTCCCTCCTTGATAAACATAAAAGGTATCTGGCATACTATATCAACATTCAACGTTTGTTCTGTTGTTCCTGACTAATCTCATGTGAGGTTGATGATCACCAGTGGAGATTATTCATGTGAAAGCCCTTGTTGAGCTACAGGTGAGGGGTGTGTTAAGTGGGGTTATCCAACATTTATTAAGTTCGGGGTTTCTTATGATCTTATATTCAAGGTGAGCCGTCTATCTATTACCAGTTGGTTTTAGGAGGGATGCCTAACTTAAAGTTAAAAATTACAAAGAAACAAAAAGAGGCAATAAATAAAAGGAAGTCAAGACTCACAACTTCCTTCCCAGATGCAGCTGCGAGAGTCCGGAAAAATGGCCAATTTATTTTCTTGGCCAAATCCAAAACCCTTAAGCTCAACCTATGAGTCTGCATACAGGTGAAATAACACCCATCAATTAAGAACAGAAGTACGGCTTAATCGGTCCAATTGTGGCACCTTAAGAAATCAAGTAATATAAGCACCTCTGGCAGAATAAGTAGTAATGAGAATATCATGGAAGCAACTTCTTTTAAATAATCTATCTCATCATGGAAGCTGAACACGGCAATCTCTAGGAATGAAACAGCAACATCACAAGACAAAGTAGAATTGACTGATGAACCTGAAAATCAGGAGCATAAGTAGAAAGAAATGATGCCTCTGCAATCCTGATGGGTTAATCCCCAGCTATTCTATAAATTCAATTGGACAAATTCCAGCCAGTTGATAAAAACTTTTACCACTGCTTTTTATATAACATGACCAGATTTAATTCAAGAGCAACATATAAACCCCAGGGACTTCTATTGCAGGACTTCACTCAAGAACTTCCGTTACAAGAGTGTCCTCCGATTTTGAATACTTGATAATCTGCTTAGGTCAACCATTGAATATCCACCATAAATAATAGGGGAATATATAAAACAAATGAACTCTCAAATCTAATACAATTAAATCATTGAGCAATGCTGATAAAATACACTAAAGAAGCAGAAGGAATATACATACTGCCTCATAACAAAGCATTTACCTATTTATTTTCTCTTTTTTTGGAAAAGGATGTAAATTGGCAAATTAGAAATAAATCAATAGAGTACTGATGCTTTTTTCTGTTTCTCTAGGAGGTTTAAAGGCAGTAGAGGAAACAGTTAAGATTTCAAAATTCTAATTACTGACCTGATGTCAGAAAACTTAGACATCTCTTAAGCACATCACGTAATGCTTCGAGAAGATCTGAAGGACTAATTATTTCAGTCAATCCATCCACAGACAGACCAGCACGAACCACAGTTAAATCATCATCACAAAGCTGGCAAAATATGGCATCTCTAATAGCCATGAACCTCTGACAACAGAATCATGGAATAAACAACAGTCAAAAAAAAAAAATCTAATGTACACATAATCTAGTATATAAAAAAATAAAAGAAAACATGATATCTTCTTGCAAAATAAAAGAAACAATTTACTTGTTAGCCAATCTAAAAAAACTGCAACTACAATTAGCACTTAAGTCATATTAAAAAAGTTGAATGGATACAAAAAATAAGTGAGACTTCCATTTACTGAAGAAAAAACACCAAAAGGAGCAGAAAACGTCATGAGGAAGTCGAAAGAAGAACAAAACACAAATAATGGGAAGAATCAAATTCATTTGCAGCAAGAAGGTATAAAAAATCACCAGATCAGATAAATTCAGGAAGAGTAAAGCAACACTGAATAAACTCAAAAATATAATAAATATAGTTCTTTTTTTATAGGAATTAGGCCCCGTTAAAAACCCCCTTCATAATTATTGTTTTGTGAAACACAATAATCATTGGAAGGGGGAAAAGGGTGCCCATATTTTATTACCAAACATAAGAATTACAACCAAAACCAAGCAAACACTCAATACAAAAGACCTCCATTTCAACAACCCACCGACCCCAATCTCACCAAACCAGAAGCTCATCACTCACTAACCTACTCCTGATTTAGCTAAACAGTCAGCTTCCCCATTAATACATCTATTGACATGCCTTGTGATAACATTAAACTGCATCACAGACTTCTGAATTTCTGTGATCAAATCAACGTAAAGAACCGGGCAGAGTTCCGGGTTGTTGATCCACTTCAAAGCAAGAAGTGAATCACTTTCTAAAATCATGGACCCCTTATCCCTCCAAACTGAATCAAAAAATAAATCTAACCCAGCTTTGATAGCAAAAATCTCTGCAAGAATCGGAGTACAAGGTCCTGTCGCTCTAGAGAAGTAAACCAACTTCTTATTCTCAGCATCCTTTAGCACTCCTCCAATACCACTTCTTCTCCAGTCAAAAGTAACAACCCCATCAACATTCATCTTAAAGGAAAAATATATGTATGGAGGAGTGCTATCAAAAGTAACAGCCCCATAAATATAGTTCTTAAAAGGCATAAAATTATTGCAGCACCCACAAAAACATTATCATGTCAAACTAGATGCATGAAGCAGCAAATAAGTACAATGCAGAAAGGAAAACTATATGTATGGTGCATATGAATTACCTGTGCATCAAGAGACTTGATTTTAAGAATAGCAGATCGGTCAAGCCCCGAAAATGTAGCACGCCGAACCTCGGGCTACATCACAGCACCAAAGCATAAGAAGCCTTGAACATATATTCAGCGGATCCTAACAATATGATACTAAATAATACCTTAGGATGGTGTGATGCAAACCATATTTTGGACTCTGAAAAGGCTGATGATAAATCCAAATTCCCATCCAAAATTTTACTCAATAACTCACACACGGTGTCTTCTTTCTTGGATTGTACTTTGGCGTCCTAGTAGAACAAACAAGGATCAAAACAAAAACATAAGACCAGAAGCATGAAAAAGTTACAAACAAGCAAAGATATGATGGAGTAACAGTTAAACTGACCTTTAGGAACTTGCTAACAGAAACTCGAAAATGTGATGGATAATTCTTATTGACAGCGGCTAAAACATTCTTGACCCAGGTTACTGCAACAGAATTCACAGATGATTTAGAAATATAGCATAATTAGAACCAGTAATCATGTTAAAAGTAAACATACAGTTCTCCTTCAAGTGATATTTAGAATTTAAAAAGGAAAAAGCATGACTAGAAAAGAAGTTCGCCAACAGAGTTCAAACGTAATAAAAAAAATAAAGATATCAAAGTAAATAAATAATACCATGTGCACCTGTGGAACAAAATTTAAATTGATATAATAATGTTGATAAATCATAAGAGATACCTGATTCAGAAGTTGCCATTTTTCCATCACCCTCAGATAATTTCATGCATGTTAGTAGAATCTTCAAGACAATATGATCCACTAAATTCCTCAAAGGAACTGTTTCTATGACTGATATTAAAGCAGGATGATATGAGTCATCATAAGAACTGCAATAAACAAAAATCAGCTTAGAAGCAACAAGTGTGCCAAAAAAATAGGACAAGTAGGAAAATCTAATCAGATTCAAACCTTTGATTAATCAGAGCTTCCAACAGTATGGCAATGAATCTATCAATATTAAACTCTTCAGATAGTTCCAAAAGAACCGCGCCAATATCCCTTTTAAAGCATGCAAAAAAGTTAAATTACAAATAAACCTGGTGGCAATAGAATTGCAGTACTATATTAAATTTCCAAACAATGTTTAAAGAAACAAGGAGTAACCTGATATCCCTCAAAATTTCCAAGGCCTTCTTTGGGAATATGTCAACAGACTGTGACTGCAAAATTTACACAAAATGCAGTAAGAAAAATAGAAACAAGACAAAGCTGATAACATAGAACCTAACATTTATTGCAAGAATGACTAGATTCTCAAATGAAGTGACTTCAACTAGACCCATTTTGTAAGAAAGGTGCATTGAGCACCTGTTCAAAAGCATCCGTTTATCATATAAACTGATCCTTAAAAGAAAAGAAGTATTAAGGAAGATCTCAATTTAGTAATTTAGCAGAGACGGAATGGCTATAACAGCGACCATATGAGAATTTGCATCAAACTAACATGTTCATCATGAGAAAAGCAGCAGAAACTGTTCACAGTATGCAGAAACAGTTGAAGTTGAAACAAACAAATCCACGAGAGTGATGCCAAGTCTCTCTTTAGAGAAAAATAGTTGAAATCAAAATCACAAGTGATATGCACGTAAATCTCAAATGAGAAGTGGCAAAACCACATCAATAGAGAATGATTGAAATTATAAATTCATAAACAATAGGAATTTAGGATGAGATGCTTTTTGCAAAATACAGAATTGGCATGAGTAGGATGCTGTTACCTGAACAAGATTTATCAAAGCCATAAGGGACAACCGAAACCATTGCAAATCAGTAGACTCCTTTACATCTTCCCTAGCAACCTCAGTGACTGTTCGAATCAAACTATTCACAAGCTTGGGAGACAATGCCACTTTATTTGCTAGTAATCCAACAATCATCAAAGCCCCAGCCTACATTAAAAAAATGTATATAAATCATACCAATTGCATCTTACAATCAGCAACATCAATGTTGTGTAAAGAATCCCTAAAACAAAACAGAAGAAATAGTATAAGCAATTATCAAATGGTTACATTCATGCCTTTAAAGTACCTTGTGATCAGAACCTCCTTTTTTACCAGTTCGAAGACCAGAATCTACAAATGGATGGATTCTCTTCACAACATCACTGTCAATGGTTGAGACACAACCCAAAACTTCAACAATAACTGCAGTGCAAAAGCTAACCACTGGTCTTGATGCCTGAAATTTCTTTGTTGGAGATGCCTACAGGAGATAGCAATTCATGTCAGAATTAATGGGAGATAGCCACCAAATTACACATACGTTATACAGCAGTAACTTACATAGCTGCACAAGGCCTCCAAAACTCCCATATCCCGAATGCATTGTTGCACAATAACAGACCTGGGAGGTGGTGCACCGGATGCTTTAACACCATCCAAAAACTTCCATCTACTATTCCTGTACCAGTCAAGAAATATAAACCATCATTTACAAACAACCATTCATCATAATCAAGGGTTAAAAAGGAAACCTCATGTTCTCCGTACCCTGAGTTGATTAACTGAATTATACGAACAAAAGCATGTGTGTCATGGTATGGAAGCACACACAAAACCAAATCCTCAATGTTGTAAACATGAATCCTGAAAATGCAAATGCCAATCACATCAACATTATCACAACAATAAATAAACATAATAAATTCACCATTCAAAAAAAAAATATCAAAAGGCAAAAAAAATGAATACTTACTTATATTGACGTATCAAGTACTCGAGTGTTTTAAGAGATGCAGGAAGCTGAAGATGTCCGGATAGTAACCGCAAATACAAACTTATCGAGGAATTAAGTCGGTTATTATCATCCACTCCCATCAATTCTCTATCCAATTCCTTACTCTTGAGACTGAACAAATCATTCTTGTAGTTTCTAAACCTTTCGTCGAGGCCTACTAGAATCTCTAGCCCTATACACAGCATGAAGCAAAATATTTTCCACAGAAAAATCGAACAAAAACAACCCAAACAGAGATTCTTTTGTGAAACATAAGGACTACACAACGGAAACTAACCTGACAATCCAATGTTTAGAATGGTGTCGATATCGATGTCGGCAGCCTCTTTAGGGTTGAATAAAACGGAAGGGCGAGTGAAAGGTCGCTTCTGAGGTTCACTGTCGGTTTGAATAAACGATTTAATCGCCTGCAACTGCGAAGCTATCGAGCTCGCCATCCTGTTCCTTGAAAATCAAAAGAGGGGAATGAGATTTGTGATTCTTAGAAATCAAAAAGAGAGGAACTGCTACACAGCAGAAGTCAGCCCAAAGCCCCAATCAAAACCCTAAAGCGCCGCACTGGGGTTTAAGCTTAACCGCTTTTTCAAGCTTCCTTCTAAAAAAAATATGGGATATTAAAATAGCCTTTTTTTATATCGAAAAGAAAAAACTTTCAAAGGTTTTTTATTAAACAAGCGATTACAAAATATTATATGTTCTAAATATTTTTAATTATTTAATAATAAACGTTCAATTAATTTATTTTAGTCATTAGCGTTCAAACCCGTAACCTCTAATAATAATAATCATCCTTTTAACCATCGAATTAAGTTAATTTGTATAAAAACTTTCAAAATTTAAAATAGTATTTATTGACCGTAGAACATGCTGTGTATACGATTTGGTAATTTCTTTTATTACTTCATTAATTTTTAATTTTTTATTTTAATTTATCTTTTTATTTCAATTTTAAATTTTAAATTTTTTTTATTTTGTTTGCTTTTATAAGATAATCTAAATCAATTCGAGTAACCCGTCTAAATATAATGGTTTTAATCGATTTTCCCCTCAACCCTAGAGCATATTATTTTTACAATTTTAACTTTTGTGGTGAGAATTGGGTTGGATGTGAGATTATACTTTTTATCCTCATTTATTCAATAAAATGTCAAAAAATATATCTCATATTTCATTAAACATTCACTTACTTTCTTATTTTCAGCATTTTAACTTGTAATGTTTTATTTTATGATAAAAAGGTTTTTAATATTGGATTAAATAGTCATTTTAGTTAGGGATTAGCATGGGTCGGGTTTTTGGTCCACCCAACCTGATATCAAGGAATCCTCCACCCAAGACCCGACTCGACCCCATCAAAATAAGATTTCACCCGACCCGACCCAATATATAACTTAAAAATCCGATCTGAAATAATAAAAAATATTATTTTTATTCAATAAAAATATTGACTTAATTGAAAAAAATAATATATAGAGGGGTATTATTATAATTATTCCTAAATATATAAGGTAAAATTATAAAAAAAATCGGGTCGGGTATTTTTCACCCCAAACTCAAACCCGACCATATCCTAATTTTTTTAAAAAAATAACCTGATTCGATCGGGTTGGGTCAGAACCCGTCGAATTTGGGTCTCATGTCCATCCCTAATTTTAGCACCTTTTTTTTTAGCATTTTAACATCCGGTATTTTATTTTAGTGTAAAAATGCCTCTATTTTAGAACATTAATCATTTGTCAAATTACAGTTTTTATCCACGTTAGAATTTTTTTTACCCCAAACTGAAATATTAGGAGATAATATGCTCTAAAAATATAGGTCAAAATGAATATTTATTCAGACATTATGAGATATTTTTGTTCGTATACCTATTAAAATCCAGATTAAAAAAAAATGATATCTTATGTAAAATCATGACAATTATCATATTTGATAAGTAAAATTGACCTATATTTTTAATAAAAATAATTATGTGTTTGTGACACGTTTATTTATGTTTTTATGGCATGTTTACTTATGCCTATGTGACATGTTTTTCTCTGTCTTTTGGTAGTTTACGGCGTTTTGTCATTGTTTACGATTTTTTTGCCATTGTTTCTGTTTATCTTTTTTTTTCAGGGTTGGATTTGGCATTGTCACGACTGATCAAGATGGCGCTTGCTTGTTATCATGATGATCTTCCTTGCTTTGGACCCTCTGATTGATTTGGATATGCATTTTACGTTCGTGGATAGTTTTCTCACGTCTTGACTCTGATTTTTGATTTGTCAGTGATCTTTCAGTAGTTTCATCTTTTTTTTATTCGAGTTTTTTGGTTAAGTTTTTTAACATTTTTCTTCTTTAGTCCTTATGTAATATAGGAGACTAACTTTTGCCTAAATAGTAATAATAAAATATCATAATTATATTTTAGGTTTACGATTATATTTCTAAATTTTTATTATAACTGTGGATATTTTATATTTTTAATAAAACTAACGACTTTATATAAAAAATTAATTAATAAAAAAATTAAAAATTATCATATATTATTTAAGTTAAACTTTAATTTCTTCATCCATATTTTCTTCTCCCATTCTCATTTTTTCATTTTTATTTATTTATCCTCTTATTATCGATAGATTTATTGGTCCTCGCCACTGTTGTTTCGAAATTTAATTTTGTTTTAACATTTTTTATTTTGGATTTATATATAACTTCAATTTTTTAATAAAAATAAATGATTTCTATATCGAATTAGATAAGATATAGAATTAAATAAATACAATGAAATCAAATGAAGTGTATAGTATTTCGAAGGGTAAAATAGACAAATAATTCATTGATTATATGATAATATTTTATTAAGTTCTTAAAACTATTAAAAGTTATAAAACGGTTATCTAATCATATAATGTTATTTTGTTAAGTTCTCAACTATTAAAAGTTATAAAATAATTACTCAATTATTTATTATGTTCCAAACACGTCATTTTCTGTTAAAAATAGACGATATTCTGAGTTGAACTTAATCTATTGATTGTGATATGATAAAATTTGACAACAACCAATTTTTAATAGAAAGATATGAATTTGGAACAAAATAAATAATTAAGTGATAATTTTATAACTTTTAATAATCGAAAAAATTAATCAAGAAATTTAATAAAACGACAATCTATAATTAATATACTATTTTATATTTTTTAATAATCGATAAAACAATATCATATAATCTCAACCATTTGTGTACTTTATAATTAAAATTCGAGTTGCGTTGTTATCTGGAATTCAAAAAGTTGCAAACGAATGACCAATTTCATGGGCCTATTTTGACTTAACTGCCTCTTACAAGCAATCAACACTAACATTCAAAGCTGCGGATTTCTTACTTCCTCATCGTCGTCAATAAGAAGCGAAGAAATCGAAGTTGCGTGAAGTTTTTGGATTTACTTTCCGCCATGGATCTATCGATTTCCGGCCCTCTTTCCGGAGCTTTTCCCGCGCCAACTTCAGCACTAATCCTCGCTCCCAAATCTCCATTTTTTGGCTCCTTCAAGCCTCGGAATTCCTACCTCAACAATCCGTTAGTTTCCCGCCAATACTTTCCGATTAGAGCTCAGGTCTCGGATGCGCCGGTCGACGATGACTTTGTCATTGACGATGTCCCTCACTTGACTAATTTCCTCCCTGATTTGCTGGTAATCACTTCACTTTCCAGCCTTTATATTATATTAAATTTTATTTTATTCTCCTTCCGAGCTGTTGATAATTTTCTTTTTTAAAGAAAGAGTTTGGAATTGTTTCAGCTGGAGTAGTGTAGAGAAAATGAAAATTGTAATGAGTAATAATTTTAGACTTGAGTTGTTTTTGTTGATGCAACAGAGAAAAGAAATGAAAATAAATAGTATAAATGAAACATAATTGGTTCAGCAGTTCCTTTCATGTTTATTTGAGTTGGATAGATGAACTTTCCTTATAAAAAAATTGACAAGCACTTGGATTATGAACAAACTTAGAAAGAAGGTTGTTTATTTTTTACTAAATAGTTTACAACCTTAGTCTAAGTATAAATAAGGAAACAATCCCTAAAAATCACTAACTCCCTAAGAATTAGAGACTAAGATGAGATATTAATGTACAAGGGAACTCATAGGAATTCCAAAACTCCCCCTCAAGTTGGAGTGTAGATATTTATCAAACCCACCTTGCCAATAATTTCTTCAAACATGTTTCTGCTCAAGATTTTGGTCAACAAGCCTGCAACTTGTTGTCTCGTAGGTAGGTAGGTAACACAAACCTCTCCCGAGTTAATTTTCTTTGATGAAGTAGCGATCAATTTCCACATGTTTGGTGCGATCGTGGTGAACAGGATTATGTGCTATGTTGACAGTTGTATGGTTGTCATAATGCATTTTTATAGGTCTGGTATAGGATACTTTTAATTCTCCTAGTCGTCGTTGTATCCTGATTCCTTCGCATATACCATGGGATAGTGCTCGATACTTTGCCTCTGCACTACTGCGTGCTACAACGGACTGTTTTTTACTTCTCCACGTTCCGAGATTACCCAAACATAGCTACAGTAACCACTTATAGAATGTCTGTCGTTAACGGCACCTGCCCAATCTGCATCAATGTATACTTCTACACTTCTGTTGGCAGTTTTATTGAAGTGCATGTCTTTTCCCGGAGTCCCTTTGAGATACCTTAATATCCTGTTAGCAATTTCCAGATGTTTCTCCCTTGGAGCATGCATGTATTGGCTGATAACACTCACACCAAAAGTTATGTTTGGACGAGTGTGAGATAGGTAGATAAGTCTCCATAATAGTCATTGATATCTCCCCTTGTTGATTTCTTCTCCATCCTGATTAGTTCCCAATTTAAGATTGAATTCCGTAGGAGTTTCGGTTGATTTGCAGCCCAACAAACCAACTTCAGAAAGCAGATAGAGAGCATACTTTCTTTGAGAGATGCAAATATCTACCTTAGACCTTGTTACCTCCATTCTAAGAAAGTATCTAAGATTCACCAAGTCCTTAAGTTCGAATTCAGCACTAAGAAACTCTTTTATCCTTTCAATTTCGCTTGAATCATCCCATGTTAATATTATATCGTCCACATAGACAATGAGAATGCAACATTTTCCACTTTCGAGTGTTTGTAAAACATGGTGTGGTCCAGGGTTTCAAATCGCGGTCGCGGTCGCGTTTTCGATTATTTCGGATTTACCGTGATTGCGGCCGTCGCGGGCGCTATTACGGCCACCGCGGATGCTATTGCGGCCGTCGCGGGTAACTCGGACGGCGGCTAAACCGCTATATCGTGGCCGAAATCGCGGTCGCATACCGTTTTTTAAAACCCTGGTGTGGTTAGCTTGTCCTTGAATATAGTTTTTACTAGTCATAGCTTTGGCAAATTGGTTGAACCACGCCCTTGGAGACTGCTTTAGTCCATAAAAGGACTTAACTTACACACTTGGCCCTTGCTCTCTTTAAACCCGGGTGGGAAATCCATGTACACTTCCTCATTTAATTCTCCATCGAGGAAAGCGTTTTTTACGTCCTATTGGGTCAAGAGCTAATCCAAGTTGACAACAAGGGATAGGAGAACTCGAATAGTGTTTAGCTGGGCAATTGGTGCAAACGTCTCGTCGTAGTCAAGGCCATAGGTTTGAGTAAAGCCCTTAGCCACAAGCTGAGCCTTGTATCAATCGATACTGCCACAGGTTTAAATATTGTAGTGACGATCCACTTGCATCCTACGGTATTCTTCCCATTTGGTAAATCCGAGACTTCCCACGTTTTATTGTCTTTGAGAGCTTTTATTTCTTCAATCACAGCTTGCCTCCACTCAATTGATTTAAGAGCTTCTTCTATGTTTTCCGGAACTTCTATGGTATCAACATTAGATACAAAGGCTTTATAAGATTTAGATAAGTTTCCATAGGACACAAACCGAGAAATAGGGTGGTGAGGGCAACTCTTTGTTCCCTTTTGAACTACAATTGGAAGATAGATGGATGGTGATGGAGGTGAGACTTATGTTTTAGAACAGTCCTCGGTTGGAGATGAAATTAGCACTGCTGTTTCAGTTTCAGGAGAATAAAGTCGTCGAGAGTATACCCGTAGTTCTGGGGCCTGTTCTTGCTGCCTTCCTGGATCAGGTTGTTGTTCATCGGTGTTGTGATTGATTATGCTAATTTCATGTTGCTCCACAAGAGAATCAATCCCTAAATCTAGAATTCAATGGCTGTTGGGTTGTTAGGTTTGTTTGTGATAGTAGAGGTAGGATCATGAGGTATAATGAGAAGGGTATTAATGATCTCATCTTCATTGAGAGTCTCCCCTGAAGATGAGATGTTGCAAAGTATGGTTCATTCTAAAAAAAGGTGACATCCCGAGAGACAAATATTCGGTTTAAGGTTGTTGAGTAACACTTATAGCCCTTTTGTGTGGGGGAATAGCCAATGAAGACACATGTGTGGGCTCGAGGATCAAGTTTGGATTGATTGGGTTGATGATTGTGGACAAAAGCTTTGCAACCGGATATTTTTGTTAGTAGGTTGGGAACACGAAATAAGGAAAAGACCTTTTGAAGTGTATGTAGAGGTGTTTGAAAATTTAATACCTTTGATGGTAGATGATTTATGAGGTAGCAAGCAGTGAGGACAACCTCTCCCTACAAGTATTTTGGGACACCCATGGTGAACATTAGGGCTCGAGCCACAGTAAGGAGATGTCGGTTTTTTTTCGGATATCTCGTTTTGTTAAGGTGTGTCGAGGCAAGAACTTTGATGTATGATGCCTTGATTAGAAAGGTAAGGGTTTAGGACAGAGTTGAAATATTCTCTTCCATTGTCAGTTCGGAGAGTATGTATGGTAAAATAAAATTGGGTTCGAATCATTGAGTGAAAGTTTTGGAAGATTTTGGGTGTTTCAGATTTTTCTTTAAGGAGGTATACCTGACAAATCCTAGTGTGGTCATCAATGCAAGTTATAAACCATCTAGCCTCCGTAACATTCTTTACACGACTGGCTCCCCATAGATCACCGTGTATTAACGAGAAAGGTTGAGACTGGATATAAGACTTTAATGGGTATGGTACACGGGTGTGTTTGGATAATTGACAACTTTCACATTTCAAGGAGCTCACACTTTTATTGCGAAATAACAATGGAAGATGTTTCTTCAAATACAAGAAGTTTGGATGTCCTAATCTACGGTGCCATAACATAATTGTGTCCTCTTTTGAAGTAGATAGAGTCGATCCTTCTTGTGTACTGTCTTTATTCCAAACATAAAGTCCATCATCAATTTTAGCAGTGTCAATCATCATCCCCGATTTTTGCTCTTGTACCACACAACCAATTGCAAAAAATTCAGCAAGAACATTTTCATCCTTGGTAAGTTTACTAATTGAAAGTAAATTACAGGATAATTTTAGGATATGTAGGACTTTATCAAGGGAGAAATTTTCTGCTAATTTTACTTTTCTAACTTCAGCCACTAGTGAGTGGGATCAATCAACTATACTGATTCAGGATTGGTCGTGACAAGGTGTATAAGTGTGAAACAAAGTGGGGTTACCTGTCATGTGATCGGAAGCACCTGAATCGAGTATTCAGGAGGATTTGTTAGGTTCAATGGCAATGTTGACCTTGGGTGGTTAGAGAACCACCAGCCATAGAAGTTCCAAGCAACTTGGGAGGCGTTTCCCAGATCCGAGTAGTTTTCTTTGATTGTATCCCACATGTCTTTTGCAATTTTGAAGAAGATATAGGTGCGACTTATATGGCCTTCCATTGAGTTAATTAGCCAAACCATTAGAATCGAGTTGTTGAGTTCCTAAGTCGCGTAACTCGGATCTGTTGGGGCTGGTCAAGAAATTTCTCCATTGATGTAACCTAATTTGTCACGGCCACGAATTACCATAATGACCAATTGGGACCATTGCAGGAAATTTTTTCCATCTAGACGACGATTGGTGATTATGAGGGAGGAATTAAGGTCACCTTGAGAGGTTCCTTGGTTAAAAGTCTGAGTCATTTGTGAGGTCTTAGTTTCAGATAGAGTTTCATTGTCACCCATGGAAAATGGATTTAACCGGAGAGGTAGGAAAGATAAATGAGAGGGACAAGAAGATAAAGACGAAATGAGCAAGACCAAATGATTCCTATAGCTCTGATGCCATGAACAAACTTAGAAAGAAGGTTGTTATTTTTTACTAAATAGTTTACGGCCATTATAGAGTAGTCTTAAGTATAAATAAGGAAACAATCTCTAAAAATCAGTAACTCCTTAAGAATTAGAGACTAAGATTAGATCCTATTGTACAAGGGAACTCCTAGAAATAAGGTAAGTAATTTATCCTTAATTTTAGGAATTCCAACAGATTAAGAGTGGTTCGGAATGAAAATGAGACGAATATCATGGTTATGAAATACTTGAGTTGCTTTGGGAACTATCAATGTAAGAACTTGGACAGTATTTAAATAAGTATCAATATGTAGAGTCCTGGATTTCTAAAAATTTCAAACTTTTGTAGGGACTTAAGAAGTGAAATACATTAAATGTATCACCTTAAATCTAACGTTGGGATTCTTTTGCCTTCACTTATTCTGTTAGTTATTTCTCAATGTCACTTCTCTGCTTGTCCATCTGAACTTGCAATTTTTCTGTTGGCTAAACTGTTGAGTAACGTGCTGTATTTTTTCATCTGGATTTGGCCATGTTCAATTTCTTCCAACCTATTGGTTTTGTATTTCTTATATAAATCATATCCTTTTTTTTAAATTTAATTTCAGTCGTACCCAAATCCTTTGCAAAATAGCCAAGCATATGCTATTGTCAAGTAAGTCCACTGATTTTGGTGTACTTCTCTTAAATATTTCCGTGTATCTTCATTGTGGTCAATTAATTTTGGTTTCATGATCATTATACTTTATTAATCTTCTGTCTTGCCAGGCAAACTTTTGTTCGTCCAGAAGATGTGGTTGCTCAGAAGGTATGTAAACAAAAAGGAAGAAAAAGAAGAAAAACACAACTCGAAACATTGTCCGGATAAATATATCCAATTTGATTCTAATCCAAGATTGGTTAAATTATCACTGGGCTATTGCCTTATCTGTTCACTTTCTTGGTTATTTTCCTTTGTCTTGTTTAGATTGTTGTTCAGAGGGATAGTTCCCGAGGAAAACATTTCCGGCGTGCAGGGCCCCGAGAAAAGGTATATCATCTTTTAGAGACACCTTCATGCTCTTGAAATGGGATCATTAGCCTATTCAATGCATTTTTTATTGCAGGTCTATTTCACATCAGAGGAAGTGCGTGCTTGCATTGTAACTTGTGGTGGCTTGTGCCCAGGGATTAATACAGTCATTCGGGAGATAGTCTGTGGCTTAAACTATATGTATGGTGTCAGTGATATACTTGGCATTCAGGTCAGTTCCTTCGATGTTACGTTTTCTTTGCTCATGTGATTTTTCTTATTCATTGAATATATCTAGTGTTCATCTTTCTTATTTTCAATTAAAATTTGCGCATGAACCTGGTGTTTGAAGTCCAAAATTGTATTAACCATTTTAATATGGGAATATTAATATTGGAGCTTAGTTTAACAGTTTTAATTATTGATTTCTTAGCCGGTTATTTCGTATTCAATTTGTATTTTACATATTCATGATATCGTATGGCAACATGCAACATGGCAACTATCATTCTGAGTTAATGTTTACTACTACTAGAAACTATTCAAGCTTGGAGGGTTGCTGCATGTTGTTTGTTATTGGTCGATACAGGGCCCCAAATATTGGGCTATGGCTCATAGTCAACTGGATTAACAAATGACTAGTGCATCTATTTTCAGCACATGATTTTTTTTTGCATGAAAAATCTTTTTGGTGGCTCCTTTAAATGATTCTCATATTTTATAAGATTGTCTTTGTGAAAAGAGTATGAAGAGCTTATAGTTTTTGTAGATCCCGTAGTTCATTGTATAGTTCGCTTTGACATAGTTCACCTTCTGTTTATTTATTATTATTTTGTGTATGTTTCTTGGTTTTTTTTTTGATAGGAAAGTAGGCCTCGTTATAAACCCCCTTCATGATTAATGGAGCAGAAGGTGCTCCTTAATCAGCGGAAGGAGGAAAAAAGTGCCTTAGGATTCATTAATAACCGAAATATACATAATGTTTAAAAACAAACATAACCACTCCCTTTACAATAACCAACCCAAAGACTAACATAGCTAATCCCAACGGTAAACTAGCCAATACCAGCCTTAGCTAAACTATCAGCCTCAACATTGGGTGACCTAGCAACCCATCTAACATAGCTAATGTTTCTTGGTTCTCTTAAACTTAATTTACATCCTTTCCATCCATTGTATTAAATTTTAATTTTTTGCAACTTTGTTTTGTCATTATACTGCTGAAATTTCTAGGGAGGATATAGAGGCTTTTATTCGAAAAACACCTTGTCATTGACGCCCAAAGTTGTGAACGATATCCACAAGCGTGGTGGTACTTTTCTTCTCACTTCACGAGGTGGTCATGATACCCAAAAGATTGTTGATAACATCCAGGACAGGAGAATCAATCAGGTAAGCGGTTGCGTTCTTGTCCATGACAAAAGGTCCTTGTGGGTAGCTTATGAAAATCTCTATGGATTTCAGGTTTACATTATTGGTGGAGATGGAACCCAACGGGGGGCAGCTCGGATTTTTGAGGTAATAGATCTTCCAATATAAGATCATTCCTTTTACTTACGTGTATCCATCTTGAACTTTTTGGAATTTCTTTTTCTATTTCTTACTTTATGTCGTTTCCTACGGGCACATTTTCTTGTAGGAAGTTGAGAAGCGTGGTCTTAAAGTAGCAGTGGCTGGCATACCCAAGACAATCGATAATGATATTGCTGTAAGTTCAAACACAATATTATATTGTTTGAAAGAGTAGAAGTAGGTAGTATTTTACAATTTACAGTGCTCGTATAATTACCAAATTTATTAACTCTTCAAAGAAATAAAGTATGTTTTTTAGTAATTCGATTATATGTATGCATCCACCTATCATTTGGGTTTAGATGGCCCTATCTCATGTGAGCTTTTTAGCTTATAATACTTCCAGCAAGGAGGGTATTGATCCTGGGTAAACTCAATCAAAGATGAGTTCTTGGTATCTGCAGATTTTAAAATGATTGGAATGTATCACAACTTTAAATTTTAGTCAATCTGAGGGCCTCTTTTTCCAACTATTGACTGCTAAATTTTACATATTTATTCTGTTTCTCTATATTATATTCTCTGTAATCATTAAAAGCCCTTTGCAAGACCATGATCGGGTATATCTTCAAAAATTCTCTTATAGAGACATGATTTCCGTATGCAATTATGAAGGAGACAATCTTCTGTTTAAACTGACTGATGATTATAATTTCTCCTGGCTTTAGGTGATTGATAAATCTTTTGGTTTTGATACTGCTGTTGAAGAAGCTCAAAGGGCCATTAATGCTGCGCATGTGGAGGTAGAAAGTGTAGAAAATGGCATTGGAATTGTCAAACTCATGGGAAGATACAGCGGTTAGTGTCTTCAATATTATAGATATTACGTAGTAATTACTTATTATATGTGGAGGTAGCATATATTATGTGCGTGTGTGTGGGTGTGGCTGGCATTGCTTTTTAACTACTAATCATGCAGGTTTCATTGCTATGTTTGCAACGCTGGCAAGTCGAGATGTGGTAAGGTCTTTGTCCCTTTTTGTATGCAACCCGCTTCGTATGATAAATACCTATGAACTACACTAAATATTCGATGACTATCTCCTTTCTTTTCTTCTTTGTATCTTCTTTGAATTCATTCAATTTAAGTAAAGAGTAAAGTGTCTTCATCTTTGCATGACTGATGTCACTAACGATCTGATAACATTGACATGCAATAGGATTGCTGCTTGATTCCAGAATCACCATTCTATCTAGAGGGCAAAGGTGGACTCTTTGAGTTTGTTGAAGAGCGGTTAAAAGAGAATGGGCATATAGTTATTGTTATTGCTGAAGGGGCTGGTCAGGAATATCTTGCTCAGAGTATGCATGGAATTGATGAGAAAGATGCATCTGGAAACAGGCTTCTCCTCGATGTTGGTCTCTGGTTAACTCAAAACATCAAGGTGGGGTGCGTAAACTCTCTTATCAGCTTTTGATTTTTAATCCAGTAACTAATGGTATCACAGACTTCACAATACCTTACGAAAAAAACAAACAAAAGCTTTTTGATTTCTCCTTTCCTTAAGCAACCTTTCTCCAGAAGCTTTTTGGTTGAAAATGTAGTAATGTACAATGAAGTTGGTTGTAATCATAATTAATATTCCTTTGTTGGATTCTGTGTTTAATTTCATTTTATATGATTACTTATCAATGCAATTTAGTATAAAAATTTCTATAGATTAGGGAAATCAGAAATGTTCATTCATGCATTCTGAAATATATACCATGAGATGAAACAAAATCTTTGTGAATCACAAGAATGTCCTAGTATGTTCAATCTAACAATTTTTGTCTGAGCTGAAAACTTTCTATGGACTGATTTTTTTTATTGGAATACTTTTCTTACTTGAGATCCACAACGAAAGGTTTTTAGCGTATTAACATGACAATTCACGGTGATAATTTTGGAGCATATTGTAACTATATTGTGTTACCGAGGGTCTTTGGTGATTAACGTTCTTTTTGTTGTTTTCACCTGTGCTTTTATCATTTCCCCTTGATAATTACCACTTAATGTAGGATCATTTTACTAAGGAGCGGAAGATGGCAATAAATATGAAATACATCGGTGAGTCCCAACATAGTATCATTTTTTTCACCTCCACTCTTGTCCTTGTGGCTGGTGTAATTTTATTTGATCAGTTACTTTTGTAGTCGAGAAAATTCTTAGGTATTCTTAATCCATATTCTGCAAATAATTAGGTATACTATGGTTAGTGCCGCAATTGCTTGATATGGTATGCACTTGATTGTGTTCCCCTCATGAAATAAGATTCTTCTGTCCGTTTAATTATCCATAGTACTTTAAATGATTCCTTGTTCAGATACTATGGCCAAACATGAAGTCATGAGATGACGGTCTGCAAACATCTTGGAAACCTTTTTTCTCGGTGTCATTTACCAAAATTAAGTGTTTATCATAAATGCAGGTGGTTTGAAATCATCTACCTGCATGAACGTCGAATTTCATACGAGACATCTTTTCATTTTAAGAACATTTGCTTCAGTTCTAATGTGGAAGTTAGTGGACAAAGTTTAACTCTCTTCTAGATCGGAAGTGCTTGTTCTTTTCTCTTGCATTGCGATAAAACTAATTTTTTTTTCATTCTCCAGATCCAACATACATGATACGAGCTATCCCGAGTAATGCCTCAGACAACATTTACTGCACTCTTCTTGCTCAAAGCGCCGTGCACGGGGCCATGGCTGGATATACAGGGTTCACAGTTGGACCTGTAAACAGCAGACATTCATATATTCCAATTTCTGTAAGCTTTAGCTCTTGCACTGTTTGATGTCTAATTGCTTCTACCTTTTGAAGTTAAAATATCTTTCCATGAACTAATTTATTCGAAGCTCGACTAGTTATTTCCACTGTTGTCGCCTGGTAGCGAATTAATCAAGTTTCTGTAGTATATTCGAGTCGATCTCTGACATGGTATTGCTCTTTACGGTGTTTCTGTTTCAGCATGTTACCGAGACTCATAACACTGTGAAGTTGACTGATAGGATGTGGGCTAGACTTCTTGCTTCGACAAACCAACCCAGTTTCCTCAACTGTGATGAATCAAGAGGGGGGAAAGTGTGTAAAGATACAATCGACTTGATCAACAACATGAAGATTACATCTATTTAGATTCGATCGATCGATGCTCCGACTCGAACACGTATTTGTTTTGCACCACAAACTCGGCAGGAAGGATTGATCTTAGACGGCCTCTTATCCGGTAAATCCTTTTCTTTAGCCTACACTCTTATCTGGTAGATTTACCACCTGCCATTTAGCTATGCATATCTTGGTTGCTACATGTTTCTCCTCCATTCGGATTGTGCCTCGACAATTTACTATCATCATGACACACCGCCAATATGTTTGTAAACTATATTTGTAAACTTTACAAATAAATCTTATATAAAAAATAAAAATTAACATTACTCTAAAAAATATTGACACTAGAGCTATTACATTGGGTCGGTTGGTCAAGCCGCTCATCTTTGATTCCTCGTATTCTTTTAGATTATGAATTTTAGACCCACTAGGAGCACTCTCATTCCTTCTCTTAAAGTCCTCCTTCCCCTCCCCTCTTAAGTAAGATTAGATTAGGAGCACTTATCGGTCGGTCAAGCTGTTTGGCAAACAACTTTTTGAAGAGCTTTTAGCTTATTTGAGTATAAATAGCTGATTGGTAGTCAAACACTCTATTTTTAGTGTTTGGTAAATATCTTTTTTGAAAGAGCTTATTATGCAAAATAAGTTAAAATTGAAAACATTGGAAAATCCAGCAGTTTGGAAGAGCATATTGCAAAATAAGATATTAAATGATATATTTGACCTTATTTTGTTTTTCATAATTACATCCTTACCATAAAACCTAATATAATGAAATACCCTTCCTCCTAATTTATTTAAGTTGGAATTTTATTTTATTATTCTATTTTTTAGTTGTAGATTCTCAAATATATTTTAGTTAAGAAAATATAGCAAAATATGAAAATATAGCAAAATATGAAAATAAAAAAATGTAATGTTGATATTTTATACAAAATTAATAGTATGTATTAATTTCACAAGGTTAATATTTGTAAATATTAAATTTAAAAAATGTATTAAAAATTTTCAAAAATTTTCATTAATTTTCTTAAGGAATTTTTAATTTATTGTCAAAAGCATTTTATCCAAATAATTTCACCCCAATAAAGACTAAAGTATTATAAAACATATATGTACTTAACAATAAAATGTATCATACCCTTATTTGTTATTTTACCCATATCAACTATCAGTTAAATTTTACCAAACACATATATATATACACAGTTAATCAAACAAGTTTCTCAAATCAATTGGTCAAACTAACTATTTGAATCTGTTACCAGCTATTAGTTATTTGTCAAACACCCTCGATATATATATTAACACTATTTAAAAACAATATTATGTGTTATTTTTCTTAAATTCTGACACTGTGATATAAATTTTTGGGTAAATTACACGTCAATATCTAAACTATCAGTTTTGTCTCATTTTAGTACTTAAACTTTTAATTTTTTCAAAATCATACTTAAAGTTTAATTTTTGTTTCATTTTAGTACCATTGTTTAAAATTTAACGTTAAGTTTTGAAAAAATCGAAAGTTTAAGTTTCTGAAACGGACTAAAATTGATAGTTTAGATACTAAACGTGTTAAGTTTTTAATACTGAGATACTAAAATGAAACAAAAATTAAATGCTAGGCATGGTTTTGGGGGGAAAAAAGAAAGCTCAAGTATTAAAACAAATCAAAACTGATAGTTTAGGTACTATTGTGTAGTTTACCCTAAATTTTTTGACTCCATCCTTGTTTATGCCGAATTAGTGGCGGATCTAGAAATTTAAGAATGGGTTTAAAATTTTAATTTTAATTTTTTAAAAATAATGGGTATTTGAGTCCAACCCAACAGAACATTTTTGGATATTTGAATCCAACCCAACAGAACATTTTTATTTTAAGAGAATTTGAACCTCGGTGATCCAGAATTTTAGCATATTTGATTGATGTAGATTCAAATACTCAATGTATAGTTTAAAACGTAAAATAAAATGTTTGGCCCCCAACTTTATTAATTTACTCATTTGAACTAAACTTATTTTTTGCCTCTCTTTTAGCTTTCAAACTTTTATATTTTGTCAAATTGACCTTAAGTCGATAGAACAATAATGAATCATTAAGTCAATGGCGGATACAAAAATAATTTTTAAGGTGATCACATGTATTAATAACATAAAATTTTGTATGCGAGTGTATATAAATAAAATTTTAAAATATACATATCCAATAAAACATGTAACTAATATATATATATATATATATTTAGAGGTCTCAGGTTCGAGCACTAATGAGTGATTGAGCATTCATTATCAAATGGCTAAGGGTATTTAGAACAAATACTATTTTGTAATTAACTTAGCTTAATATATATAGTGGCAAAGCCACATCTTGGTGAGGGTGGGCATGCGCCTACCTTAAAATTCAAATTTTCTTAAATTAATTACTTATTTTATTGAAGGTGTATACCTTAAAATTTTTTCGTGTTCATCCTAAAATCTGAGTTTTTTTATGAGTTACTTCTTTTATTAACGGTTTTCACCCTGAAATTTTATTTGTACGCACCAATTTAAAAATTTTATGTTGTTAATATATTTGTATTCACTGTAAAAATATTTTTATATTCGTCACAGTATATATATAGGTTATCGACCCTCAACCACATCTAGATCTGCCGATGCATTAAGCTCTTGTTGAAATGTTAACGTTAGTTATTCTTTTGTCCTGTCATAAAAAATATTAAAAAATATATAAAAATTGTTATTTTAATATTTTAATAAGAATAAAATAATTATTTTTCTTTTATTTTTTGACAAAAATATAAAGTAATTAATGTCAACTTAATAGTGTCAATATATTTTTGCCTCAATTCTAAAGAAAAAGAAATTAAGAGCTAAAAAGATTCAATAGAAACTTAAGGCTTTAAATATGAATTGGGACGTTAAAAGGTTCATTATTCCTAGGGTTGAGCATTCTCGATCGAGTCGAATCGTATTGGGTAAAAAAAAATTCAAGTTATTCAAGTTGAGGACTCCTTTTTATAACTCGAGGTTGACTTGAAAATTTTTCAAGTGGAGTTTGTAAAATTCGAATTAAGTCCGATTTTGAGTTTTTGTTTAAATTTAATTGTAAATATTTATAATATCATGATATTATTTTATTCCAATTTAAATGATTTTTTTTTATAATCATATACAATAAACATATATTTCTTCATATTATTTTCATATGTGATGTACATATATCATATAGACTTGAGAGACTCGATTCCAACTTGAAGATCAATCAACTAATTACTAAAAATTTCACAACTCAATTTGACCTTGAAATTTTTTTCGAGTCTAATCGAGTTTATGAAATTACAACTCGAAGTCAATTAGTATCAAAAAATTGATTTTTCAAATCGAGTCGAATTTTCTTCAGTCCTACATATTTCAATCTAAAGTTGAGTTTGTATTTTTATAAATCCAAATCCCCTACACTTTACTTCAAACAATAATAACAATAATTTCATTAAATAAAAAAATAAATGAAATTTTAATTCAACAAAGGGATAATGATTTATCCTTTAACATTCCTTTTGAACCCTACACTCTATGTTCACCAATAATAAACAATCCAAAACACTTCCTTCTTCACGGCCGTTAACGGTGGATTATAATTCAACCGGCGTCGTCAGCAAACCGTTCCTGATTTAGTAAACGTCTAAATAACGGAGATAAAGGTGATAACGGAGGGATGCTGAATATCCCCTCCATATCTTCACTATCCCAAAACCCCTTCCAATTTGACGGAGTTAAACACACCCCCGACGCCGTCACACTTTCCGACTCCTCCGTTTTCACTACTTTACACTCCACGCTCTTCTCTGGTTCTTCCTCCTCCTCCTCCCTTTCTCTTTTCTTTGAAAACGAGTCATCGGCCGAGCTCGATTTCCCTGCCTCGAGAGGGAAGTTCAATATAGCTTTGCATCCACGTAGCTTAAAGGCAGCTCCATCATAAGCTCTGGCGGCCTCAATGGCGGTGTCGAATGTTCCGAGCCAGACCCTGGAACCTCTCCTGTTGGGGTCTCTGATTTCGGCGGCGAACTTGCCCCACGGCCGCCTCCTCACGCCCCTGTAACGCCTTTTCTCGTCTGCATCCGCCGCCGCCGTGACGTTAACCTGTTTGGGTGGTGGTGGTGGGATGGTGACGTTGATAGAAGGACGGCGTTGGCTCAGAGAAGACGACGATTTCTGGGGTTCCGTGGAAGCAAAATCAGCGAGGAGGTGCTGCCTGATGAGTTCCAAGGCGGATGTTTCTTCGTGAGAAGCCATTGATGAATTGAGTGGAAAAGAAGAGAGCGGCATATAAAGAGGAAGAAGATGACAAGTTGATGGGCAGACGAGCTTCCATGATACACACCGGAAGTATCCATGCAAACTGGTTGCGTTTGCTTTCTACATCTTTAATACTTTCCTACGGGTTACCTTAATGGCTCATCTAATAATAATTTTTTTTCGCATAGATATATATTAATAATATAATTTTTTTTAAATAGGATGAGTATCATCATTAAAATATATAATTAATTGAATAAATTTTAAATTTTAAAATAGAAATAAATAAAATTTTAAAATAGACATTATCAATACAATAAATAACTAACCGAACCGAAGCGAAGAAATTCAAATTTCAATATCAACCTAACTATCAATGGACCTGTCACTTAAGGATGGGCATGTGACCTAAACATGACAGGTTCTGACTGGACCCGACCTGTTCGGGTTAGTTTTTTTTATTTTAAATCAGGTTTGGGTCGGTTTTTTAAATATGATATTCAGGTCTGGTTTGGGTTTAGGATAAAAATAACCTAACTTAAAAAAAATTATAATTTTACCTTATATTTTTATGGATAATTATAATAATACATCTCTATATATATTTTTTTCAATTAAATCAATGGTTTTATTTAAAAAATATTTTATTATTATTTTGGATCGGGTCGGGTCGGTGAAATCTTGTTTTGGTCGGATCAGATCAGGTCTTGAGTGAAGGATTCATTAATCTCATATCGGATGGGGTGAACCAAAAACCCGATCCATATCTATCTCTACTGTCATTGGGTCCCATGCTTTACTTCCATGCCTACATTTCAAAGGCTTTGATTGTAACCTTTATAAAAGTGCACATATAAGAGGGTAAACTCCATCATTAACCATCAATCTATCATTTCCTTTTTATTTCGGTCATTGAATTAATTTCTTTTATAAAAGCATCACTAATATTGTTAGAGTTTCGGACCACGAAATTAAAATCAAGATAGTGGTAATATTGTGAGGCCTACAAATACGGAGCAGTATAATTTATTTAGAAACTTCAATTCTTCTCTCGTCTTTATGTTGATCAAAAACGAGAAATTCAGTTAGAGGAAGGGGTTGTTTGTTTGCCTCTTAATAGAACCATTCAGCGCTGAATGTTGAATCGTTCAACATTCAGCGTTAGTTTCGCAACTCTGAATGATTCAGTGTTGACTGATTCAGCAATACAGTGTTGAATGATTCAGCACAGAAGTACATTCTGAATGATTCAGAGCTATTATCAAACAACATGTCACATTCAGAGCTAATTCATACAGAGTTTATGAATCATTCAACATTTGAATCATTCAACTCTTAATCATTCTGAGATAGACAAACATCCCCTAAGTTTCTTTCTATTCAAGTTTCCTTTGTTTCTTATTCCTATAAATAAGAACTAAGGTTTAGGGTTTTGTGTAGGGATGGAGCTCCCTTAGGGTCCAAGATGTCCCGACTCCTGTTAAAATTTGTATATTCGATATAATATTTTTACTATTTTGTTAATGTAAAAATAAATATTTAAATTTAAAAAATAAAAATTTATTAAATATTTAATCAAAGAGTTAAACTAAAGAATGATAAGTCTGACATCTCAAATTTTTTGTCTAATTATAACTTATGTCATTGTAAGTTTAAATATTAGATAGATTAGAAGTTGTCTTGTGAACTAAGGTCGCTTTATTCATACTGAATTTCGAGTTTAAATACCTAATAAATTTAATTCGAACTCCACTCTTGTTTGTGTGTGAACAGTTGTAATAAATCTTGTACTCTTTTGACATAGTGAAGTGTGGTTTATCCTTTTTAGATTTTCCACGTAAACTTTGGTGTTCTTTAATTTTCTTTTTGGATTGTATTTGTTTGTTGTTAATCTTATTTCGATAACTACAACAAATATTACCTTATATATAGTGGCAGATAGGGGCGGGTAAACTCAACTCTATTCGAAAATTGATTTTTCAACTAGACCCAGAAAAAATTCACGTACTTCAAATCGAGTTGTAAAATACAACTCGAATACTCGATATTTTAGTAATTAGTGAATTGATTTTTAAGTTTGAGTCGAGTCCCTCGACTTTATATATATATATAGTCATAAAAACTATTAAACTAGAATAAAAAAATATCATAATATTATAAATATATGTAATTAAATTTAAATAGAAATTCAAAAATTCGACTTGACTCGAAAATATTTCAAGTCAACTTCGAGTTGTTAAATAGAACTCGTCAACTCGAATAGCTCAAAAATTTTTTACTCGTCTCAACTCGATCAAAGGCTCACCCCTAGTAGCAAATGTACTAAGGCATTATAATGGACACGTGCACACTTGAAATTCAAATTTTCTTTGGCTAATTATTGACTTTACCAATTGTGTCAAACCTAAAATTTTATTTGTGCTCATCTTATAAAAAAATTTTATGTTATTAATATTATGCGTCAACCTTAAAAAATAATTCTAGATTCGACACTCTCTATAGGAAAAAAAATAGTGTTAAAAGTAATTTATGGTATACACATATATTAATAACACGATTTTTATACACGGACGTGTAAATAAAATAAAATTCAACACATTCAATAGAATATAACTAATCGAAAGGAATTTGGACTGGCGCACCCTAAACATAACATGGATCTGCCATGATGTTTATAACGCTCTTGTAAAAATAATCAGTTTGATGATCGAAATAGAAAAGAAATAATAAGTCGGTGACTGTTGATATAATTTGCCCTATATTATAAAGTTCATGTGATTGGATAAAGGTTTATCTTATCTTAGGGCATGAGAAGAATAGTGCAACCAACGAAACGTGATGCTTGCAAATACGTTGATTTGGTGTACTATTAAAAGTTACAAAATTATTTTTCGACGTAGAGTATCATTTTGTTAAGTTTTTTATAAAATAATTATTCGATTATTTATATGTTTCAAATCCGTCATTGTTTTGTTAAAAGTCGACGGTCGTCTGAGTTGGATGTTAACCTGCTAATTCGAAAATGATAAATTCATATTTTAATTATGCCTAATAGCGTCATTACTTTTAAACATTGGCTTTATGACGTAATGTTCAAGAATTGACTCGACGATATAATGTAAACAGACTCGATCCACAATATATAGCTAAAAAATAGTTATGGGATTATTTTTATCACATCCCAGTGGGCAGGTTAACTGGTTAACGTCCAACGCAGATGAACGTCAACTTTTTAACGGATAAGGACGAGCTTAGAACACATAAATAGTCATATAATATTTTATAACTTTTAATTGTTGATGGACTCAATAAAATAAATCTTTTTGGTTAATGGAGCATTTTATAACTTTCAATAATTGAAGGATTCAATGAAATAACATACTATAGTCGAGAGGTTATTTGCTTACTTTACCAAAATATCAAGACTAAAGCAAAGGAGCTTTCCGAAGCAACATGCAATTTTTCTCTCACCAAAAACTTAAGGGTGAATGACACATTTAGTACTTAAACTATCAATTTTGATTTATTTAAGTACCTAAACTTTTTTTTTTTAAAAAGCATACATAAGTTTAGTTTTTATTTCATTTTAATACCCCTTCAAAATTTAACATTAAGTTTTGAAAAAAAATGAAAGTTTAAATACTAAAATGAACCAAAACCGATAGTTTAGGTACTAAATGCATTAAGTTTTCAACGGAAATGTATTAAAATGAAATAAAAACTAAATGCTAGATATGATTTAAAAAAAAGTTTAGATATTAAAATACTTAAAATACAATAAAATTTAATATTTCTAGGAGTATGACCATACCCTAGAATCCCCTCAGTTCATCTCTATATCTTTCCATTCATCCGAATGTTCGACTCCATGTAGTTCTTTCATAGTCAGATGACTCAATAAAGTAACATCCTATAGTTGGGAAACATTTTTGTACTTTACCCTTAAATTTTTTACCTACTAGTAAACTTTTATGGAAAAAACCAAAAGTTAAGAGAACAAAAACTCAGCAATATAACTTGGATTTAAATTGTGGTTGAAGTAGCGTTTTCGATTGTGTTTATTGTGATTGCAGACAATAAATGCTATTGCGGCGGTTGCAAGTATCACGATCAAACAATAATAGTTTCGAACGGGACCGTTATATAACAGGTGCTATTACAGTGGTGGACAGGACAAGTCCTATAATTCCAGAAACATGCTGAAGATCCACCCATAAACTTTCCCTTTCTTCAGCACCATTACAATCATAAACTGCAAAGAGATAAAACTTTCCATCACCAGATTGAACTAAACATATCAATAACCTGATCAGTAGCAACAGTCTTGTTCACCTAGACAAGCTTTTGAAAACTAAGGTTTAACCCACACAGGGACCTTATTTGTTTTTAATCTTGTTACACCTCCGGTGGTTACCACTGGAAACTACCGGTTCCCCGTCGGCTGACATCTTCGGACAAATCTTCTATTTATCAAAGTTTCCAACGGACCAATATCTTCCAGACACGAGTATCATAGCCTCCGATCTAACTATAATGCATAGACAAGATAAGGCATCTAACTGTCTCATGTGATGTACTAGAGTGAAATCTAAGATCTAACGGTCAGATCTGTTTATCGCTGACTTACAAGTAGCCCTAATGACAGTCTAACACCATCAACTAGGACCCCTATAAATACCTCTCATTTCTCAACCACGATTGAGAGGAGATTCTCTTTACTTCCTTCTATTTCTAGACACCCATCTTCCTCTCATGTCTTCATCTCTCTCATCGAGAAATATCGGCCAGCAGTCGTTACCTCACTAAATGTAACTCTTCATACAAACCAAAACGAATGAACAGCCTACTATAGAGAAAAATAAACTTATTTCCATCAACAACTGAACCACTAACAACCGATCTTCTATCAACAAACCTCTGAAGTCATATTTTTGACACCCGTTTCCTTTAATATAATCGCTTCATGTTGGATGTGCCATGGTCTAGTTTCCAGCACCTAGTCTCCAATCATTTTGGGAGGGAAAAACAATTAAGCAGACATTAGGAACAATAAATTTTATATTTACAGAATCCTCTCTTCCCCGTAACATATCAGCCACTTTTTGGAACAAACTATAATTAGAAGATTTTCCCAAAAAATTGCCCAATCGCAGTTTATAATTCTGATTAGAATTCACTGAAAACAAAGACTTCCAGTCAGATGACTTACCACTATTGTTTGATTCATTGTGGAGTTCAACTCCAAGTAGACTTCAGTCACTTTCTCGTCCAGAGAACGGAAATTTGCATCCTTAATCGCAACAGCGCTGATAGGATTAGATCCCTCTGCCTGTTAGATCTCCTCAATTCACGCACACATCTTGCGTCGAATTTGTGGGATTCGACTCCAAATTAGCCTGCCCAACCTCGCCCAATTCAAATTCAATCACGATCTTGCCCTCCGAAGGAAAATCTGCGTCCTTAATCTCAAATGCACAACTAGGGCTAGATCCTTGCCCGTTCAAAGACAGACAAGACTCTCAATGATAAACTCGTAGTTCACTCATCCAATATTTGATTTTCTTGAATTCCCTCATCTGTTAATTGCGTTTCTTTGCACTCCAACCTCTGACAGTGGAATGGTACGTACAAATGACCCGTTTTCTTTTATCTCAGGATAAACTACGTATTTAATCCCTCAACTATTCATGTAGTTCTATTTTGATCATCTAATTATTATCTTTTTGAAAATTCAAGTCTATCGCCACGTTTTGGTTATCATCCGTTAAAAAAACTAACATTAATATTGACGTGTCAATATAAATACTTATAAAATAAACTTTGCCTTCGAGCATTTCTAGATATAAATCATCAATGATAGTGTCAACATCAATGTTTTCCAACATATTTTTTCTCGAAACATATCATTTGGAAATAAAAAACGATGTTATCTAGAATTCAGAAATATATAAAAAAAACAAAAGAAATAATATGGAAATATGACCTACCTAAAGTTTTAAAAATAATTTTTAATATGATTTAAGCAACGCAATTGATGATAAACAATTGTGATTTCGTGTTTGTGAGAAATATAAGAAATTAAAACCTGAGAGTAATAATTTTCAGATGACCTGTGAAAAGTAGAAGAGAAAGAAATTTTTTGATTGATATGGAAAATCGAGAAATAGATTTGATGAATTGATGATGGGAATTTGGAAAGACCCAAATTAAACTTATATTTAATAAAAATTAGGAAAGAAATATTAAATTAGAGTTTATGATAAGTTGAATAATTTATTAATATTAATATAAAAATTTACTAATAACAATTAACACTTTAATGAAGTCATATAGACACAATTATTTTATTTTACAATTTTTTAAATTTATTATAAAATATAAAGAATAATATATATTATTTTTTTACATTTGTGGGCTTTAAACACTCGTATACTTTTCGATGTTCGAAATTAAAATCTCTAAAGATAACAATATTTTAAGTACATAGGCATAAAACGGTTGCACTGTATTTTTTTTGTAATTTTTGTAATTTTTTTTTTTATTATTATATATATAAAGATATTACTGGAGATAGTACGAGATGAATTTCTGTTTTATTTTTATAATATATATATATATAGAGATGTTGTAGAGTAGAAATGAAGGTTAGAGACGACCTAATTATATATATAATTTTACACACCTTCTATTTTACATATTACATACCAAGCGCAGTCTCCTCACAAGCGAAGCCTAAGAATTTGGATCAATTAACCATGGTGGTTTCTGTCAACAGACGGCCAACGGTTTCCATTCCAGTTCTCACTCGAACCACCACTTCCTCCACCGTAGCCGCCGCCCCCAGAGTTCCCTTGTCCACTTCCAGAACCGTGGCCGCCGCCATGAGCACCACCACTTCCAAACCCATATCCATACCCAGACCCAGTCCCGGACCCAAACCAAAACCCATAACCCCTCCCGAACCCATTGGGTGACCTACCCGAGCCCGCACCGTAGCCCCATCCACTCCCGGGGCTCGAACCCCATCCCCAGCTGTAGTCCCAGTTAGGACCATGGGCAGAACCAGTAGCACCACTCGGAGCATTAGAGCCCTCCATGGAGGTCGTCAGCGTTTTCCGGCCACCGGAACCACCAGCACCAGCGACGTTAAACGAAACCAACGAGAAGAAAAGAAACAAGGAGAAATGAAGAGAACTGAGTTGCATTTTCTTCTTCACTTTTTGAAGATTTAATAAGCTCCTTTGCCGTGGATGGTTGATGATGTTCGTGAGTGGGGTTATTTATCATGGGGGTGCTGATTTTGACATCAAGGCCACTTGTGATGCTATTTAGTTTTCGGTTAAATTACGTATTTAATCACTCATCTATTTATTTAGTTCTGTTTTAGACACTCAAGCAATTATAAGGTAACTCTCAAACAACTCTTGATCTTGAACTCGAAATTTCTAGGGATAATAACCACACTTTTAATCATCGAGCTCGTTTGCTTCGTACAAAAAAATATTTTTATCAAAATCATACATAATATTACATTTTGGTTTCATTTTGATCACACGTCGTTAAAAAATTAATAAGACTATTGACATGATAATTTTTTTTGACATTACCGTATGATAACATGTCAGCATACAACATAAGGTGGATGAACGAAATATAACATTAAGTATGTTTTAAAAAAGGCTTAATTATAAAATAAGAGTCCAAAATATACCGCTTTTCCCAAATATGTGCCCAAACTTTTTTTTTGAATCATCCAGGTGCTTAACATTATAAATGTTATCACTTTTAGGAGCTCGGCTGTCACTGTCGTTATTGGACACGTGTCACTTTATAGTGATTTTAAAATTTTTAATTTAAATTAAAAATTAAAATTATGTTTAAAAAACATAAATTTTTTTGAAATAATTTAAAAATCCTAAACTTTGAAATCCCTTATTTCAACCCCTAAACCCATGTCAACTACCACTCTTTGCCATCGACGAAGCTACACCCCATCACACCTCCACCCGATCACACCCCCACCCGACGATCGATAACCCTATGAAATCGTGACCAATCGACTTTTGTACCCCGACGAAACTACACAGCAAATCGCGATCCCGACAACCAATCGACGATAAGTATGGCGGCGTATGACTAGGAAGATGACAAAGACTACATCGAGGGCAGTGGTCGTGGTCGACAAGGACGATGTCACTAGGTTAAAAGTTAGGGATTTAGGATTTTTAGGGATTTGAGTTTTTTTAATTTAAGAGAAATTAGGTTTTTTTAATAAATATAATATTTTTTTAAAAAAATAAAATTTTCAAAAACTACCAGAATGTGACACGTGTCACTTAACCGAGAAATTTAACAATAGTTACGACTCGATCACCAAAAATGATAACGTTTGTAATGTTAGACACATTGATGATTCGAAAAAACGTTTGGGCACATATTTGACAAAAACGATATAGTTTAGAAACTTATTTTATAATTAAGCTTTTTTGATGGAAAAAAACAGATGAATGACAAAAATAAAACCTCGAAAATAGGTGGATGACTAAATACGTAGTTTACCGTCCACTTTTTATGCGAGTGCACACGTCCCTGTATGACCGTGTTTCCTGGCCACAATGGAAGAGGCACTACCACGATTGAACCGCACCACCGCCCTTTCAACTAAATTATAACATAAAAACCTCCCACAGATGGACATAGAGTGGCCAGGTTTCATGATTATGTTAGTGTTTTTGACTAATAAGGTTGAGTAATAATTATATTTCCAACATGGGTTCGATCCGTTGCTAAACCACTATAAGTCCATCTAATTTGAACTTGTAAGTACAAAAAGGTCCCTAGCCTTTCACTTTAGTAACACCAAACAAATGATTAATGATCCTTAGGGATGGGCATGGGTCGGATTTTTGGTCCACCCGACCCGACTCGAGAACAAGAGAGCCTCCACTCGAGACTCGACCCGATCAAAACAAGGTTTCACCCGACTCTACCCTACCCGAATATATGACTTAGAAACCCAACTAGACCCGACCCGAAATAATTAAAAAATATATTTTTATTCAATAAAAACAATGGTTTAATTGAAAAATATTATATATATAGGGGTATTATTGTAATTATTTCTAAATATATAAGGTAAAATTATATTTTTTTTGGGTCGATTCGGGTCGGACATTTTTCACTCTAAACCCGAACTCGACCCGAACCCAATTTTTTAAAAAAAATCCGACCCGATCGGGTTGGGTCGGAACCCTTCGGGTTCGGGTTGAGTGCTCATCCCTAATCCTACTTGGAAGGATGAGAAGAAATTTAAAAGATTAACGATTAATTCGATTCGTATTGATATTACACATTTGAACTCGTGTCTTTCTAAGATATTGTAATAATAACGATGTCAACCGAATTAAGACTCTATCGATGATTGATTCGAAGTTAAACAATTAAGGCCCTCACAATTTAATCCTAATTCCATATCGTATGACATCCTTCTAAAATGTTAATCTTAGAAGCTTGAACCACATGTGTAAGTCCACATGTGTAAGTCATGCTAGGGTCCATCAAACCCCATGGTGCCATTGCAAATGGGAAGAAGATATTTAGGGGAACTAGAGATATTTCATGTGCTTGAATTTGAGGGATGTGTGATGTAGAGCAAGTGAGGGAGGGTATGGAGAAAGGCAACGGTGCACCAAATTGAGTGGTCGTATCTTTAACAGGCCAAGCCACAAAGGGGCACATGGGGGATAACAATATGTACATGGACAGACGACGTAGTATTTTATGTCAAGAGGCGAATTTAAATTTATAAAATTTTAGAGGGGTAAACTTGAATTTATAAAATTTCAGGGGAGCGGAAATAAATTTTCAATAGAAAATACATACAAAAATCTAAAATATACAAAAATTTTGAAATTTCAATGGACGATTGCCCACTCGCCATCCTGGTCCATCCCTAAATACGTAAGCAATAAAGTAGGGTGTATTCGGTTTGGCTCGGTTTTTAATAAAAGTTGAACCGAACCGCAATAAACGGTGTTTTAAAATTAAAATCGAAACCGAATAGTATAAAAACCGAAATATGTGAAACCGAATTTTTCGATTCGGTTCGTAATGCGGTTTTTGAAAACGAAAATATTATTAGACATACTTTAATTGGGGCTAATATTAGGCCATTAGGAGTAAGTGAGTAATTGACTGTACATTAGTTTGAAGTGCAAACATGTTTATTCGGTTCAATATAGAAAGTGGGTTCCATATGAAAAATCTGAACAGAACCGAATTAGGACACTTGAGTATCATAATCAACCCGAAACCTAACCGAACCAAAAACGAACGAATTGAACCGTTTATTCAATTCGTGTCGATTTTTAATTTTCTCAGTTTCTTGCTCAGCCTAATCACAAGCCGAAGGTGAGTGATGAGTTGATTGAGGAGAAAATGTTGACCTTTTTCGCTTGTGGTGTTGTGGGAGGAGATGAACTTTCGACTTCCTCACCTTTGTATTTATGAATTCTCATCCCTTTCACGAAAATGACATGATCTTGACACGGTGAATCCTATTTTCTCTTTCACCACCTTCCATTCTTCCTTGTTTTTCTTTTTGGGTAATATATATTTTGGTACTCGAAATCGGCTTGGATGTTCGATTTGGTACTCGATTTTCTTGGTCGAACAGGAACCTGAATTCAACTTTATGTTCAATTTGATACCTAATTTTTTAATGGTCAATTTAGTTACTTGAACTTTTTTTTGATTGAAACTGGTACCTGAACTTAGTTGTTGATTCAAATTCACACGTACGATTTTAACCGATATGAATTGTTAAATTATGATCCAAATCTTGTATGATCCGGTCTAAAAATTAACGGTACAATTGAATTAAACTAGGGGTTTTTGTTCATAAAAAATATATATATGTAAAAAAAGAATATTATTCTCCCTAGAGTACATGCGCTCAAGTAGCTACGTCTGCATGGTATATATGCGTTGTCAATAGACTAAGAAAAATCTAAAGAAAAGTTATCTTGTAATCACCCTAGACTTGGATTCTAGGGTTTTACGTGCTTTTTACGAAACCCTATTATTTTTGTTGCCAACATTGTGAATTTCTCTTCTCTATCTATGATTTTTCTCATGTAGGGTTTTCCGAGTGAAAATGTATGTCTTTGCTTTGCAATCTCGTTTATTTAATCAACTTTCATGACCAAAGTTTGAACTGGAAAAGTTGAATTGAACTTTAAAGTCAACTTCAATTACCTAATTGAACTTGAAGTGAAGTTCAAGTACCTAATTGAACTTGAAGTGAAGTTCAAGTACCAATACATATATCAATTTGCAGAAACATAGTAGGGATCATTGACCTAAAATCCTAAAAGCCGGTTAGGTTAGATTTTTTTGGGGCCAAAAGTTGCATATAACCATAAGCAGGGTCGGTCCAATGAGTTTTAATCCTTTGGGCGAGATAATTTTATGCCCCTATACTTGTACCGTATAATAGATAAAACTAAATAATTTTTTAAAAAAAAAATGTAATAGAATTTATAGTCAAACAATATCAATACTAATACAAACCAAAACCTACAAGGCTACAAATATCACCTAAAACCGATCAGGTGTTTTGGAGTAATTTTTTTGAGCCAAATATATATATACACACTATAAGCACTAGAAAACTGATGCCCCCTCAAACATGCTGCCCTGGGCTAAGGTCCATCTAGAATATATATTGGACGGGCCTGACCACAAGAAGTAAGTGGGATAAGTTTAAAAGCCATATTTGGTCCCAATCCACCCTACCCATTCCAATTTTTTTTATTAGGGATAATTACCAAAGTTATAATTTTGGTTTAATATCTTTGGGGCTTTCCTAGTTAAGTTTGACACATATTATGATATCTTTTGATAATCTTATCGGTCAGAACACGATTATTGATCGAGAGACCTAATTATAGTATAACATCTTCAATAGTGATTGTGTACTCGCCACCAAAGGATGAAAGATGTATGTCTTCGGTCTCCACCTCTATATGACCACTTGTCCCTTATAATAGACTCAATTTGTCATTTTTGCTTCTATCGTATTTTCACATCAATTTAACCTTAAAAATTTAATTATATTATTTTATACCCTAAACCCTAAATTCTAAACCCAAATCCTAAACCATAACCCTTGACCTCTAAACTACAAATCTTAAACCCTAACTTATAACTCTGAACAACAATAATATTTAAACATTGG